ACGAACATGGCGCTTTTAAACATTCTGAGATGTTAACATTGCAGTTCAGGCAGATATGCTATACTGAATTGCGGTCCCTTGCTTTTGTTAGTTAAGATTAAAGCGTACTCACGCACTCTGAGCGGCCAATCCATTACCAGCAGGCAGCTAGTGATACCAATCGTTATGTACCAACGAACCTGGTCGAATGAAGAGGCCCTCTTTTTAAAATGTTAATTTCTGAATGAACTTAATTTTTTCAAAGTAAGCTCCCAACAACAGCCCTACTTAAATTCTGCGCAAAGGAGCGGCTGCGAAAGTCAGAAGATATAAATAAAACCCCAAAAGTTTTCCGAGAAGGCAGAAGCATTAAGCATTCAGAAGACCTTCTCAAAGTACCACGAACTTGCCTGCGTCGCAGAATAACTGCAGAGGATAACACGGTGAAGATAAAAGCTGGCTAAAACCCCGGTGAACAAAGCAACCTGGCAGCCGAAATTGTTCAGCTCTGCGGGTGAACAGGACAAGTGCAGTGTTTGCAAAATTCGATGCAGCATTTCAGGTTGGCACGCAGAGCAGAGCAGAGCAGAGCAAAGCAAAGCAAAGCAAAGCAAAGCAAAGCAGAAGTTTGCTGCTGGTATAGGACTCCGTGGGGACCCACGACCATACATTTACTCACCTCTAAGACCACTACGTTTCTTTTTTTATAATATATTACTGAACCCCTACTTCGATGGGACGAGAGGATGGTCTCTCTAAGAAAGTTTGGTACATGCTCACAAAAGAAAAATATGATTCGGTAAGGGTCACCCTTGCCAAAAAATCACATGGAGATAACTTCTCAACAACTGAGTATGGCGTATTAGCTTACTTTCCTTTCTGTAGTTGAAGGAAGAAAATAAACGCCACGGCGACCTGGAATCAAGGATCTGTACTGGTCTAATTGTAAGCCAACCTCGATAAGTATTACAAGCATAGTCCTATATACTGTCACGTGATTGAGTGACTATACTCGTAGATGGGGTTTGGATTGTTAACTGGATTTATTGAACTCTTACAGAACTATAAGGCTAACGCTAATTCACACGATCTGCAGTTCACTACAGCACCCATTAAGTCTTCTCAGTCTATTGTATCTTCAACGGTTGTCGCTTCAAACGCCGTACCTTCCTCATCTTCCGTGTTCACGTCCTTACTGGCCGGCGACTGTCTCACAACTAACTGAACTCTAGATGTGTCCTACTTATAACACCTCGGCAACGAACGCACAGAAAACACCTCTTCCAACAGTCCTATTGTTGCATCACGTAGCTATAGCACGGACCGCGTTGAGAACATTGCTTCCCAGTCACTCCACTGTTGCATGTTACTAATCTCTTGGCTAGCAACGGGCGTGTTTGTAGAGCCGTTCCATGGCAACGGCTGCCTATATACGGGTTAATTCTAAAACATTTTCTTCGCTATTAATTACCAAAATCTGCGTACTTAGTAGTGCGTATCTACATTATGTCCTTGTTGACGTATTGCTAGAGCAACCATCTCTATTTGCCCTTACTTTGCACCTGTTTCCATCCTTCTTCTAAAATGACACCTCCGCGATTAGAGAATATACCCTATCACTTCTTTCTCACATTAGATAAGTTTTCTTTCCTTGCAAGTAACCTGAGGACCAAGGATGTGAACATGTCACTTGTAATTCCTCCTGCGGAACGCGTCTCTTAAGTATACAGTCTTGTTTCGTCCTTCCTCATATTTCCGTATGGCCCCAAAACAAGTCAATACATACATTTCTACGTTCATATCTAAATACGTATACAATTTAATGTAATTATTCTTATGACACATTACCGAGTAGTACATAAAGCAGTGACCACAGAAGAACAAAAGATTTCCGTGTAGGCCTGTGTACTCATGCTTTTACAGCAAACCAGAAACTAATGGAGCAGACCAAACGGAAGACGCCCGGTGGGGTAGGCCCTATTTGCCAAATATCAGATCGGTACTGCAGTTGTTTCCCGGGGTACAGTGGGCGGATCGTGAAACTAATCACAATTCCCTTCCCTATTTGCCTTCACGGTGTGTCGCTTAAGTAAAGTAAACTAAAGTAAAGGTATCACTGTAACAGGCCGTGAAGGCCCATAAGGTTGTGAGACGTTGAGGGTCCCACATTATGTAGACAATCGGCTCAAAGATGGCGGTAAGGTTGTCAGCCTTACGCGCCGGCCGCCCTTTACCCACAGGAAGGTACCTGGTACTCATTTCTGTTAGAGGCTGAGTGAACCCCAAGGGCCATAGTGCGGCTGGAAGGATTAGGTCAACTGAAAAAAAATCCAATGACCTCGTCGGGACTTGAACCCGCGACCTTCCAGCAAGCATAATTTTAGTTTCACCATACACAATTCAACACAACATATTACAGTAGCACCACATATACAAAGAGGTGCGCAAAGCGGTACATTTGTCACTCATTGCACATTTTGAATCTTGCTGTCCGTTTTCGGACGTAACATCACTGCGTCCTAGGAAATGTCGACTCAATGTTGCTTCTACCGTACGCCACCAGAGGGCCCATGCCGATTCCAATAGTGGATCGAAGGTTGAAGAAAACTGTCACACACACACAACGGTGAGAGATGGGAATATGGGAACGGACCATGTAAACGGGAAACGTTTTGAGGGAAAAATGTGAACACCGCAAGAGTCTGCATCTGCTGGCAACTGTCGGGAAAAGTCCAGTTTAACTGCGTACACTAAGAATTTTGTCAGTACCTTTTGGAGGCTAAATTTGTTACTGCAAAATTGAAAAGGTATAAATCGCCATGTAGTTATCAAATTCCGGCAGAACTTATTCAAGTAGAAGGTGAAATGGTATTACGTTCTAAGATCCATAAGCTAATTAATTCTATTGGGAACAAGGAAAAATTGCCCTATCAGTAGAAGGAGTATATTACTGTACGAGTTCACGTGAAGGGTGATAAAACTGACTGCAGTAATTATTTGGGGATATCACTGCTATCAACTTCATACAAAATTTTATCCAATATTCTTCTCTCAAGGTTAAGTCCATACTTGGATGAAATTATTGGGGATCATCAACGTGGATATCGACGTAACAGATCAACTAAGGATCAGTTCTTCTGCATTCGTCAGGTACTGGGGAAAGAATGGGAGTACGACGAGACAGTACATCAGCCATTTGTAGACTTCAGGAAAGCCCATGATTCGGTTAGGAGAGAAGTACTGTACAATATTCTAATAGAGTTTGGGATACCCATGAAACTAGTTAGGTTGATTAAAATCTGTTTAAACGAAATGTATAGTAAAGTCCGTGTAGGTAAACATTTGTCTGATAAATTTCCTATCCAGAATGGTCTAAACCTAGATGCTCTGTCGCCACTCCTTTTCAACTTTGCTTTAGAATATGTCATTAGAAGGTCCAGAGAAACCAGGTGGAACTGAAATTAAACGGGACACATCAGTTGCTGCTCTATGCTGATGACGTGAATCTACAAGGAGACAACATAGATACCAAAAAGAAAAACACATAAACAGTATTTGATCCTAGCAAGGCGGTTTGTCTAGAAGTAAACACAGAGAAAACTAAGTATATGTTACACTCTCGTCACCAAAATGCAGCGCAAAATCGTGACATAAAGATAGGAATCAGATGTTTTGGAAATGTGGCACAGTTCAGATATTTGGGAACGAAGACAGCAAATCGAAACCTGATTCGGGAGGAAATTAAGAGGCGATTGAACTCGGGTAATGCTTGCTACCATTGAGTCCAGAACCTTTTGTCTTCTCGTCTGCTTTCTAAAAACATAAGAATTGGGATATACAAAACTATAATTTTGCCTGTGGTTCTGTACAGGGTGAAACTTGGTCTCTGACATTAAGGGAGAAAGACAGACTGAGGGTGTTTGAGAACGGGGTGTTGAGGAGAATATTTGGACCGAAGAGGGATGAAGTGACAGAAGGCTGGAGAAAACTGCATAATGAGGAGCTTCATAACTTGTACTCTTCTCCAAGTATAATTAGAATGATCAAGTCACGGAAGAAGCGGTGGGCAGGGCATGTAGCACGAATTAGGTAGTTGAGGAATGCATATAGGATTTTGGTGGCAAAGCCGGATTGAAAGAGACCACTGGGAAGACCAAGGTGTAGGTGGGTAGACACTATTAAAATTTATCTTAGAGAGATAGGGTGGGATCGTATCGATTGGATTGATCTGGCTCAGGACAAGTACCACTGGAAGGATGTTGTGAACACGGTAATAAACCTTTGCGTTCCATAAAAGCTGGGAAGTTCTTGAGTAGCTGCAGAATTGGTGGTTTCTCAAGAAGGGCTTAGCGCCACGAGTGAGTGATACTAAGAATGTTAACGTTCTAATCCTGAGCAGTAATCTAACATTCAGATGCATCCAGGTAGGCCTATCCATGTTCGGGTATACAACTCGGTAACGGCGAGAGATTGGGTGCGTGGTGAGTTCCCTGTCACCACGATACGGAGCGTCCTCAGGTTGAGGACAGATCTTGTCAATAATTGCGAATATACTAAATGAACATCCGCGGGCAGCGGACAAGAGATAGTCCTCCAGTTTTGTGATTGTCGAGGGGCTAACACTTCCCACAGTTATGAAGTGTTGCACAGGGCTTCAATTTGTTTAGTTACTTCGTCTCGTGACGATGCAGTGGCATGCATCTTCCCTGATAAGTGTAGCCTCATGGGTGAGAAAGCCACAAGAGTGTTCAATCTGCAAATACATACGATATACAGAAACAAGGGTGAATGAACAAAGTATGAAGGGAAAAGATAAATTAAGAAAATGGACGTAAGGAGAGAGAAATGGTGACGACGGAAGAATGAAGGGAAAAGAAAAGCAAAGGAGGAACAAAAAATGCAGTAATAGGAAAGTTCTGATGGGGTGACGTATGTTCACAGTGTTTATAATCCTATGTAATCCTATGGAAGGTACTGTTACCAGAAAGTAGTCGTGTTCGCATGTGCCATGACGCACTTACCCAACAAGAGCAGTTTTATGTCTTTGGCCGCCTGTAGCCCATCCTCCTTGAGGTTCTTTTCTATTTGCTTGCTCCGCAGTAGAGCTGCCCTCTCCTCTGCGGAGTGCCCGCAGCCCATCCTGCGTCCTACCTCCTTCACGAACGTGGCGACGCCTGTTTCCGTACACAAGTCCGAGAAACACACTCCTCCCCCTCCCGATCACTGAGCCGGACAGAAGCTTCCGACTACCCCTGTTACAGAGCAGGCCAGCAAACACTGACTGCTCCAGATTTCTACCACCTGACTCCGGCGCACTGAGTCAGAACTCCAAGGCACACGCCAGAACACTGGACAAATTCGACGAACTTCACTTTCTTTATTATGACGTAACTTCCCTTTAATTCTTTAGTTTCTGTTTAACTCTCGAAGTGAACTTATCCTTAGCAAACTGTTTATCTCTGAAATTGCCGCTGACCGCCACGGGTCGTACACTTCCTCACACAGACTCGATGAAAATGAAGCTCCTCTCCTTTCAGACTTGGGAAGCGGCCGTACCGGGTGCGCGCGCGCAGTTCCACTCTTTACGCCGGTACACAACAAAGCCTCAGATCACTGATCTAGAAAAAATTAACTTTATTTTTGTGTGTGCACGGGATTTTCAAACAACCGATAACATCACACACAAGGCAACGGAATTAATCCGCTCAGCGGCCTCGGACACACGAGGCAGACTGTGAAACAAAGAACGTCACAGGCAGCAACAATAACAAAAAAAATCTCATGCGATGTCACTGAACCAATCTGTCACCTTCTTGTGGTATTGTTTCTTTCAATGAAACGTCCCGGGCCGCCATGGTGATTAAGGAATGGCCAATGGTCGTGGCTTACATACGCCCGAATTACCTTTAACCTCAAGACGAAATAATTCACGTAACGGGAAACGAGGAGGAATTGTACCAGAAAGGCAAAGAAAATCATATATTAATGACATTCAAATTTTGTTCTTTTCACCAATTATTATTGGGGCAATCAATTCAAGCTGGACAAGAAGAAGACAAGAAGCCTATGAAGATGGTCCGATAGGACCGAAACATGTAAGGCGATTTTACTGATGCGACGTTTTTGCAAAAGCGATTGCCGTCTTGTTCCTTAATAATTGCTGTGAAGTGCAATGGTCGGGGTGTCTCATTATAAGATGTGCTATAATGTTGCATAATCACTTCTCGTGCTGCAGACACCAACAGTAACCAAAGCCCCATGCATTAGAGACCACTGCAGCGTCACTGCATTGCGGTAGACCCATTTAACTTCTTTTATAAGTTTTCACAAACTTGTAAACAAACAGCTTCTTGTAACGAACACATTACACGTTTATTCGGGAAATAACCGGCTCGCATTCCAAACAGCACAGCAGCTGTTGTGTGGTTTATCGTGCTTTTCCACTGTCTCTTCAAACAGACCACTACTGCTTCTTTCCAAGTCCTTTATAACTCATCTCCTTCGCGGCTTTATATAACTACGCAATCCAACCAATGTCATTACAGGCATACACAGTGTGACAATTAAGTTCTCGAACTGAGGCCATAAAAACACACAAAAAGAAAAATATTTATTAATACCAACACTCAATATAGTCCCCGCCCTCCTCCGCACATCGCTCACATAACGGGTCGAATGCCCGAGAAAGCGCTTCTTCCCGTATCGCCTCGCCTTCAGTTCTCCTGTCACAGTCTGCTGGATCGATGAAACAGCCTCGAATTTCGTCCCTTTTATCGCAATGTTTAATTTAGAGAATGGAAAAAAGTCAGCCGGGGCTAAAGCGGGGTTGAAGGGTGGATGAGATAACGCGGGGATCCCCTGTTTCGCCAAAACTCGGAGACAAAGCCCTTAGAATACGCCGGTGCACTTTCCTGAAACTCAGGCATAACGTGATGAATTCGAGCGATCAATCTTTTAATCGCCTCTTTATGAATACTGTTTTCTTTCCCCCCCCCCATTGGCGCTACAGCCCCAGTGGGCCTAGGCCTACCTCCATGAAACTCTCCGTTCACTTCGGTTTTACTAGAAGTGAAGACAGTGCATGCCTCAGACCGCTCGGCTACCGTGACCGGCAATTTACTGTTTACATTGTTTTTTTGGGCACAAATTCCTGATGAATATTACCTTTAGCATAACAAATGTCGTTAATGTTTTCACCTGCGATTTTTGCATTCTCGCATTCTGAGCATCTATGTGCCTCTATGTGATTCAAACACACTTGTTCTCGATAAACATTCTTCAACGTACGAACTTTTCAACATTTCAAAAGTGTCAGTAGCTGTTTTCTTTAAGTTTACACAAAACTTCATCGCTGCTTTGTTCCATTTTGAAACCTTCGACACGACGAAAAAACTACCTTCACCAAAACAACTGTAATCCTCATATGCATCAACTAAACACGTTTAAACTTGTACATGATATAAATAAACTTCCTCTCTAACTATTCCCGTCCATCACCAACAGATGGATTTAGTAGTATTACTGTAATAGCGCCAGTCTGGGAACTTTATCGTCACCCTGCGTATAACCAAGAACCTGTCATGAAGTACGCATAATTACTTTAATTAAAGACCTTGAAACGTCTATTTGCCTAAAACAGGCACACCCGAATCTTCACCTATCGTAGAATAATACTGACGGAACTCCACCAAGAGCTGAGTCCTCAGGTTATACACACACACACACACACACACACACACACGCACAGCACCCGGCGTGCGCGCGTACACGTACACACATACACACACACACTCATGCACAGACAGGCCTCTACACATGCGCACTCACACAGAGGCCGACGCGCAAGCAGGCTCACACAAACAGTGCAGGACTTTCATATTTCACAGGCCACAAAAGAAAGCAACGGCTACCAGATTTATCGGAAAAAAAAAAAAGTTTTTGCTTTTATAACGAAGTACGAACTGATATAGTGTAATACACGATAAATGCAGGGTGTGTCATAAGAATTTTCGGTATTTTCATGCAATAACACACCACGAAAACACAACTTATACAAGGATGATGTAGCAGATGAGGCAGAAGTGGGATACGAAGTAATATTCGATCCTGATATTCTTAAATCAGACCTCTCGCAAACATATCTTCAATGTCGATATAGTAGTTGCCTCCCTCTCTTAGCCTGATACTTAAAACTGCGATCCACCACTGAAAAAGATCTTAATTACAAACACAGTAAAAATGATAGAATTACTACGCCTCCATCACAACCGTGCTTCTATTTTCCGTCATCAGTCCTCCTCCTATTCTGTATCCAGTCTTAATGCTTTCTGCTTCCACTCTGTCGCCAGCAGACACAAGAAGAACAATTCAACACAACTGAAATAGTCTGTTTTTAGTCGTGACCAGAGTGCTGCGCGTGAGGGGAAATAGGGCAGGCGTGGTGGGGGCTCGGTGGGAACTGTGTCACGTCTGCGGAATGAACTGATGAGAGAGGCGATGCGTCAGTAACCCCACCAACACCTTGTCTATTTTTGTGGGCTCAGTTAATTATACACACATTCAGTTAATACTCGTTATAGCCACAAAATATGATCATAACATCTACTTTATAAATCAAATGTTATCAATCTCCCTCCCCTTCCCAATAAGTGCCTTCATACACAAAAATTGTCGAGTAGCATAACGCACCTCAATGCGACCTACAGCTTCTCAGATGTGTCTCGATATGGTGTACCGTATGTCCAAAAAGTATCAGACTTTTTTTTTCCGCTGTAAGAAATAGACAAAGGGGTGGTGAAACTGAGCGTAGTGGTAGATGGGACTTTCATGCGCATGCGTGATTTTTTGCTGACTCGCAACACT